TGGATGATGCAATTTGTTTTTCTTTTGACCAAGGCTGGAAGGAACAACAATTGCTTGATTCCCTCATCAACTCTGACTCCATAGCCAATCCCTCCCACAGCAGTATTGTGTTATGCCAGTGAATCCTTTCTTGCTGGCAAAACACAGTGATCACTGCTGATGGCTATAGCCTCCAGCAGTGATTACATAGAAAAAAACTGACAGGTTGTACTGAAGTTGATCGATGGTTCGACTTCAGTACAACCTGCCTGCCCATTCATGGATCGAATCTCAGCCATTCCCTGCTGAACTGGCTGAGGTTCTATCCATCTGTGGCCAGCTTTAGGAAAATTTGCAGGAAAATTACCAGAACATTCGAATGTCGTTTTAAATGTCGATTTTACAATGAACAGACTTTACCAAACGAAAATACATACACTGTTACAAATTAATTCATCTGAGAAAAACTTTCGAACCTGCTTCTTTGAATTTTCTCATCACTGCAGTTGAAAATGAACATTAATTGGACCTCACATAATGACTGGAAAAATGAAAGAACCTTCTTTTTCTACAAATTTTTGTTTAAAATTTTGCCCATCTATGGCCAATTGATGCCTCAAATTTGCACAGTGACAAACTTCAGTAAGTTGTACATAGGTGATGCTTTAAAAGCCATTACAGATAAACAGTGTAGAGTTACCCATATGTATGTATATGGGGGCTGAAGGCTTTAAAAGCAGAACTAATCCCTCCTATCCTTTTCCAGCCAAGAAAGTTGCCATCTTCACATCTATTTGATCTGCAGTTGCCATGATGCTGCACATGTGATTAGGGCCATTTGATGGTTTCACAGTTCATTTGAGAGCACAGGCAGATGTGACAGTTATCATTCATGACATGCCATGTTTTGTTAATTTGTTAAATCAGTGAGTTTAGTTCCACTTTAACCACTTGCCTACAGGGCACTTTTACCCCCTTCCTTCCCAGGCCAGATTTCAGTGCTGTTGCACTTTGAATGGCAATTGCACAGTCATGCAATTCTGTACCCATATGAAATTTTTACAATTTTTTTCACACAAATAGAGCTTTCTTTTGGTGGTATTTAATGGCCACTTGGGTTTTATTTTTTGCACTATAAAACATTTTTTCTGTTATAAAATTTTGCAAACAGGTAATATTTCTCCTTCGCTAATGTGCATTGATGAGGTGGCATTAATAAGTAGCACTGATGAGGTGGCACTGATGAGGCAGAACTGATGAGCGTTGATGAGGCACCGATTATGCATTGATATGCGGCACTGATAATCAGGGCACTGGACAACCGCACTCTAGCAGTCTTTCGTCTATAGCGCGGTTGGCAAGCAGTTAAGGGCTCGTTCACACCATGGTACAGAGACGTCTGTTTTTCTGCACGCTTTCAACAAGGGCACAACAAAAATCAATTACTCTTTATGTGCTCTGTTCACACCACAACACTAGTATCCGGTGCAGATTTTTCTTGCACAGGAACCTGCAATGTGTATAAAACCCATTCAAGCGTGTATGTAAACTGATGTCTCTGCAAGTTAAATCTGCTCATCAGTTTCCTACAGTTTTCATGCAAGTATGGTGTGAACGAGCCCTATGGGCCAGTGTAATGCCTATGAAATGTTTTGGCCTTGGACCCTTTTGTTTCTTGGGGAATTTTTACAATAAAGCATAGTTGCCCATATGCCAGAAGCACGAGAAATGACATTGATGTCATTTCTCTAGGCTAAAAGAACAGAGTCACAAGACATTAGACTGCTTAAAGCAAATGTGAAGTGTTTGTGAGATTGAATGTGCTTGTGACATCTAGAAATGTTACATTAGACTGATTAAATTAGATAAGAACTTGTTTGTGCATTTAAAAATGTTTACTTGTTTGAGAAGTTAGAAATCTTTAAGTTAAGGGTAGATAAGCTGATTTGTGGAAAAAGTGTGATATTACAAGATAAGATGTTGTTTGCCAGTAAAGTTGCTGGGTGTGACTTATGGAACCTTTCTGCTCCTCCTGAGGTGGGCGTGGCACCCGCCCATTTCAGGAAAGTGGCCAGAAGAATTTAACAGGGTGTATAATGAGGGGCCTGAACACAATCAAATTGTAAGCCTTCCCATGCGAAAGTGGACGCTCTGATGCTGGGACTTTTGCCAAGGCTACATGGGCTCATCGATTGGTCGTGTTTAAGGCTTCTCCGCAATCCCCTGTGCACCGTTCCGGTGGTGTCTCCTTCCTGCCTTCCCATAGCTTTGGTAATGTATTAATTCTATGTGATGCTGTCAAAAGATATGTTTATATCATGCTGTAATGCTCACAATATTATTGGTGTGTTATTATGCAGATTGTGATGACTATAAGATATATCCTCCTGTGTGTCGTGTGATAATAAAAGTGGAGGTTTTGACAGTGCAAGATTACTGCAGTTGGATTCTGTTATTTCTTGGAGTGCTGAGTGAATGCTATGATGTGCTAGGGCAGGTGTTCATTTGGTAGTGGGTCTCTCACATGCTTAGAATAATGGTGTAAATGCTGGTTAATCGTACCTGTGTGGCTTATGGGGCTTGTTCTTGTTGTTTGAGTTTGCATTACAGCCAGGTTATACCATTTCCAACAGCCTATTTATTTCATTAGGTTTCCAAACATATGGGAATGCGCAAAAACTGTCAGGCTTGACTTTTAAAATCATTCCTCAATTAACTCCATAGTACTACGGTACCATGTGTTTTGGTGGCTGCAATACACGCATATTTCACAGATGCATTTGAGGTACCATTAACAGTTAAAGGATACGTTCACCTTTGGGAACATGTTAGATGTTCCACTTATTTTTTAGGGTGGGACCATGTAAAATGTTCCCAGTGCTGCAGCCGCTGCCTGATTTCCCCCTCCCCCTCCCTGTGACAGCAGTATGGGTAGAAGTTCCCTGTACGAGCTGTCACTTTTTAAAAACAATGTGGTTGTGCGGGGCTCTGCCACATGGCCGCATCATTCATTAATGTGCGGCTGTCGGCTTGTAGTTCTCAATGAACTACCATGGCGCTGTGGAACACCATAGTTGTTTATTGATTCTTCCTGTCAGTATATCTGCTTGCCCATACGGATATACTGACAGGTCTGCAGGACACTTACATGGCACCAGCAATCTGCTGATCACTAGTGCAATGCTTTACAGACTCCTGCAACAAAAAATAATAAATGCAGCAAATTTTTTTACCAGCAAAAAAAATGTGCATTTATTATTTTTTGTCAAAAGGTGAACTTTTCCTTTAATGTCAAACAAGGCAGCACATTCCTGTGTAAAAATGCATTTTCCGCTTCCCAATTGGTGTGAATTGCCCTCGGGCAGAAGTAAATGTAGAAAAAAAAAAAACATCGCAGGCAGCTTTTGCAGAAGTCGCATCAAATTTCTCTTCAGCAATAAAGTACACTTACCTGCCTCTTCATAACCCTCTATGGAATGTACAGTGAGCTGTGCATGCATAGCATAACTTACATTTCAGCACACTAGCAGTGTGCTGGGATGACTCTCCTCCCACTCCAGCCAATCAAAATAGCTGAAGACTGGCACCTGGAAGAAAGCAGATGACGGCGAGGGACCTCATGGGAGTCAGACCATTGGAAACAAGGTAAGTATGTGTGCCTTTAGTTCATTTTTAAGTTTTTTTTTTTTTTTTCTTTTGTTTTTTTATTTGCTACCTCATTTTTTAAACTTTTTTTTTCAATCTACCTTAATTGCTGTCATGCAGAGGACTTAGAGCTTCCTATTGCTGATGGCAGATCCTCCTAAAGTAGACATCAAGGGTCTGTTACAGTCCTAATGTCATGCATAGACTCCAATAAAGGTGATCAAGCACAAAAAGTAAATCAGGAGAACATGCTGAACAAGTCCTCTTCCTACTGTGTACTGGTGTCACAGCTCAATTTATTTATTTGGATGAGCTTTTCAGTGGAGTACACCTCATCCATAGTAATTAATGGGGTCATGGTGGTTTGTTGCACAATAGTAAGGGCTCATGTACACTGCAGCTGTTAAACTCACGTTTAGGAGCTGTTCACCGTTTTTTTTCAGCAGCCCCTGAACTCACCCTAATGTTTTCCTATGTGTCCATGTACACATCTTCTTTTACAGGCAGTTGAGTTTACAGTTGTTTTTTTTTAACGCAGAAAACTTGTGTTCAGCAGTAGATTGTATCAGTGTTTCAAACGCAAAACGTGTGTAAACGCTGCTAACTGCATTTATAGGCATTTGCGTTTGAAAATTTTTTTAAAACTCTTCCATTTCCAGATGCTGTCCAGAGCCTTTTTTCATCATGGAAAAATGCATTCAAAGTGTTTTCCCGCTACTCAAATGGACCTGGTACACCATACTTTGAGGTTTTACATGGAAACAAATATGTTAGACACTACTGCAATAATTTCTGCACAGAAATGAGCTGGAACACATCCAAACACCAAAAAAAAAACAAAAACAAAACACAGCTAATCTCAACAAATACTGCTCTTTGCTTCTGCTCTCTCTGTTTTTTCTGAAAATGCAAACACTCATAAACGTGGTGACAGCTAAACAGACGTTTTCTAACCTACGTTTTCCAGCAGTCAGTTTCCATCGTTCAGAAGTGTCCCGTGTACATGGGGCCTAAGGGAATCTGGTCAGCCATTTTTCTTGCAAATGTGTGTGGCACCGGCCAAGACTGTACAGTCTATTTACCATTTTATCACTACTCATCATTCAGAGTAAGAGGTCTGTCTATGGGTGGCATACCACAATAAGAAAAAAGATATTTTCTCTTGTTAAATGTTTATCCACTTATTTTGGTGTGATTTCAACTTTACAAACATGTGGACAGCAAAGCTGTTATCAGAGACAATTCTCATTGTCTTTTTTTTTTTTTTAATGACAATTTGAATAGGCACCCTTTTGTTCTGAGAGTTTCAGTAAATAAAACAGTTACCTTTTATGTCATCCTGCAGCTTAAAAGACCAATTACTCAGATTCATCATCATGTCTAAGAGCTTTAACCCATTTGACGAGGACGAAGATGAAGACTTAAAGCCTGTAAGCTGGAATGAAGATCCTGCAGAGAGGAGAAGAAGGGAAGAATCGGAGAGACAGAGATCTCTGCAGCAAGAAGTGATGTATAGGGCACAGAGCACAGTGGACAGTTCTAATAGGTCACTATCCCTTATGTATGAATCAGAGAAGGTTGGGATGGAAACTGCTGAGGTGAGATAATTGGGGTTGACGGTTTGTGTTTTTTTTTTTTTATTTATTTTGACAACCCTGCCCTCATGAGTAAACGCAATATTGTTGATTGCTAGTGAAATATGAGAAGACAATCAAAGAGAATTACAGTTCAAATTCTTTCTGTTGTAGGAATTCATAAATATTTTGTTTAGTGGCATTCTGATTTTTTTAGACTGGAAATGGTATAATGTGGGGGACAAAATTAAGAAATTGCAATTCATACATTTCCTAAAAGCACAGGACTGGTAGAATTAACAGATGGTGCTACTGATTATGTAGGTCCCTTAATATTTGTACAAATGTTTACTAAAAGCCATATTTTCCATAAAAATACACTAAAATCATTGTTAGCACTCACAAACATAACTTACAAAATCCCTACTAAATTTAAAAGCTTAAACTGTATAGTTAATAAATAAATGTTTGTTCATTTTAAATTTTGTCTTTTTGCAAAACAGTGAAAATCATAAGTATGCAAAACTGTAAATAAGGACCTTATACTAATGCAGGCATAGATGGATCGAAAATCGGCCGATTTTTTTCGTCCAAAAAAAAAAAAATCGGCCGATTTTTGCACCGTTAGTGGGTTAATTGGTCGGCCGTTTTTCAGGGTTTTGGCACATTTTTTTTATCGGTAAAGTTGGAAAAAAATCGTCCGATTTTCCCGGCAATGATGGGCAAATCGGGCGATCGTTTTACCGATAAAAAAACTGCGCATGAGCCGTGACCTGCAAGAAGAAGAAAAAGAATTCCAGTCCGCTATTATATTTTGTATGAAAAGTATTGCGGTTGCAACAATGTATCTATTTGTATCCGAATAAAACCATCTGTATCCGAAATGGATACAAATGGATACATTGTTGCAACCGCAAGACTTTTTTATGTCAAATATAATAGCGGAGCTCTCTGCAAGGGACAGAAGTAATTTAATGCCGGTCGTAGATGGGACGAAAATCGGCCGTTTTTTTTTACCATTGGTGGTAAGGTCGGCCTGTTGAACGACCGATTTTTTTTTTTTTTTTTTTTTTTTAGCAAAATGGCCGGTTTTCAACCCGTCTATGGCCTGCATAAAAATCTGGAGGTTGGCTTCACACAATTGTGTTGTGTTAAAGCCCATTGCAAAATGCCACTTGTGTGTGCTGCATTGGTGTGCATTACAATGAATTGATGCAGGCATACACTTTATTACAATGCAGCACATTACAATGTGGCAGCAGTGCTTCACAATGCGCTGCCTCATATATAGTTGAATAAATGTTATTTTAAATAATAAAAAAAGAGAGACAAAATCAAGAAACTGCTGGGGGGGAGGGGGGCAATGCAGCCAGCATCAAGAAGTAGTGTATTTATTATACTCCCAGAAGCCCAGAGCCCAGTGGATACGAGCGATTACATGTGTATAGTGGATACGAGCGATTATGAGTGGCCTACTTTGCGTCCAGAATGTGCAGTTACATGCGTACAGCTACGGTGTCTGTCAGCCTGCCATTGATTTGTAATTTTGTGGGGTTTTTTGCCATTTAATTTTCTAAATATATCTAATTTAGTTAAATATTGTCACCCTTTGTGGCAAGATGATAGTTGTAGATTTAAAAATATTCAAATAGTTTTTTTTAAAATTAACATTTTAATTAAAGCATATATGAGATCTATGTGATTTGGTTTTAAATATCTAATTATTGTTTTTTTATTTCTATCTTCAGGAACTAATGCGTCAGGGAGAGGCCTTAAAACGCACAGAAAAAATGGTGGATAATATGGAACAAGATATGAAGACCAGTCAGAGGCATATTAATAGCATAAAAAGCATTTTCAGTGGTTTCACCAACTACTTCAGAGCCAAACCTGTTGAGACACCCCCACAAAATGGAGCATATGACTACAAAGCTAGCAACAAGTAAATCACTTGTTTTTATTTCTTTTGGTTTGTCTGTGGTTCAATGAACACATCTTTCTTATAATCGTGTCTTTTTAAAATCTGATCTTGCTATAACTGAAAGTTTATCAATGCATTGTAGAGACAGAATTATCAATTGTAAGTGCAATAACCTATAACAGCAAATCAAATTTGATCTTGTATCGGTCTGACTTCAGCAAAGTGACTTTTAATTGGCTATATATTAAGGAATTAGCAAATTATTTATAAAGTCATTCTATTCTAAATCAGCATATCAAACCTTACACTGTTCCTAAACTTTTTGCCTACTATGCAATAATTAAAGAAAAAAAACCACGTAAATTCCTTTCATTTCCCATTTTTATTAGTGGTCACATCACCGACTGGTTCCTTTTTACCCAGCTTAGAGAACTGGGAATGAAAACTCAATATGTCATTTAGTTCTGTTGATGTAGCTTCCAAGAGTTTATTTGCTCCATGGAAACCTTTTAGGCATCCTTAGGCTGTAAATGTAGCCACTGTCTTCAGTTAGCACAACATGCTGTAACTCAGAAGCAGGAAGAAAAGATGCAAACTGACCATGGATCTGTTTCTATACCTAGCTTGGTCTGTTAGAAATATGATATTAACACCTACTCTGCTATCCCTTGGCTGGTGATATCTATGTGTCAGTCATAGGACTGGATACTTGGATAGGGTCAGTAGCCAGAAGCCAATACAGCTGTCACACAGGATCAGCAGGGTGAACCCCAAAAGCAGAAAGAGGGATTGGCAGGTCAGGTGAAGACAAACTGAAAAAATCAAGCTTGTAAACAGCCACAAACACAGAGCCCTGTGTGGACAGGGTGGAGGCACAGTCAGAGTTCAAAAACATAAAAAACTCTCTATAGCGCAAATGGAGAAAGTGGTTAGGTCCCAAGCAAGAAGCCTTATACTCTGTATGGTAGATCCAGGTGTTATTCCACTTCTATAATGGTTGCAGCTCTTCTAACAGGATAATGGATATCTCTGTGCACTAAAACAATAAACAGAAGGAGCCGCCATCTAATTGTATCAATTTAATTAAAAACAAGTAAAGGAAAGGGTTAAAATACACTCACAAGAATGAGAGTAAATGGGCATATCATCAATTCTTATTCTCTGGCAAGCCTCGGTTGACAATGGGTGGATAAATGGATGAGATGTATCCTTAACACAGCTCTGCAAGATAGGTGGAATAAAGCTGGACTCTGTCAGAATGCAGATTAAGTCCATGACAGGCTGCGTCTTCCTCTAGCAGCGAATATAGCCACACTGGAATGCAAGCCAGCACTAGGACTGGAATCGGAAGTGACATCGGGACGTATTGACATTATAGCATGATGCGTTGTAACATGTTTCAGAGCCCACAATCGCTCCTTTGTCAAACCATCAGAGGGAAAGAGAGGAAAGGATAGCTATTTATTAGGCACTGAAGGAGGAAGTGGAGGGCAAATGTAGCACACATGGAATACTATTGATAGTTAAAGTATGGGCAGATCAGGCTTAAATTTGGGTGGAACTGGCTGAATTGTTTTGGAGGCACAGCCAGAGCCAGATACAAGTAACATGTTACAGCTAATTACAGGGATGGATGCAAAATGCCTGCATAGCCTGGTAATAGGAACAGTCCACAAGTCTGAATAAGGCCAGATTTAAGCGGATCATGGACTTTTGTGATAAAATGATTTTTCATGCTTGTACATTAGAATGTGAGCCCCCTTCCCCTTTCTAGATCAGGTCAAAAATAAAAAACTATGAAAAAATGTCATCAGAATATTTCAGTATTTATAGCTCAATCTTTTTGATTCTGTTATCAAGATTACAAGAAGCAATTACAAGCAGCAAAGAGCAAGAGGGCAGATATCAAGCTACGCATCCAAACCTCATGAAACGTGACACATTTGGTATGTTAAAACAAGCAAGAATGATGTGATTTGTTAATCTAAAAGCAATCTTGGAATGTGATGGGGGCAGTCTCAAATTGCACCGTTGACATCATAATGGGCAGCATACTGGCTAAATGGTTAGCACTTCCGCCTGGCAGTACTAGGGTCATTGGTTCGAATCTCAACCACAGCACCACCTGCCTGGAGTTTGCATGTTCTTCCTGTGCCTGCGTGGGTTTCCTCTGGATACTCTAGTTTCCTTCCACACTCCAAAGACATGCTGGTAGGGTAAATGGCTCCTGTCTAAGTTGTCCCTAGTATGTGTATGTATGAATGTGAGTTAGGGACCTTAGACTGTACACCCCTTGAGGGTTAGGGACTGATGTGAATGTACAATATATATGTAAAGCGCTGCGTAAATTGATGGCCCTATATAAGCACCTGCAATAAATAAATATTGCAATGATTGCACTCCCAGCCCCTGCGCAAAGATTTTCCTTTTTTTTTTTTTTTTAATTTAAATATTTATTAAATTTTTCATGTTAATACAAAAACCCAAAAAAGGTAAAAAATTCTCATACAAATAAACATTTATAACATTTCTATCTTTCCCTTACTAAAAAAACTCTTTTCCTTCCCCTCCCACTACCCCCCCCTTCCCTCCCCTCATCCCCCCTCCTCCTCCCCCTCTGCAGACTCTAGCCCATTCTACTCTCTTGAGGCTTGTTAATTTTTTACTAACATCCTAATTCATATTTTCCTATATTTCTCTTTCAATCCTGCTCTTTCCCACTTTTCCCATCTCCTATAATAAACTCTCATCCTATCTTCCTGCATATGGTATGATCTTTCCATTCTACCTATCTGGTTTACTCTATTAATCCAGTCTTCCTCCTTCGGTACCTCAGCCTTCCACCAAAACTTAGGTATCAACCCTTTCGCCGCATTCAAGAAGTACCAAATACCTGAATCTTTATATTTATTTACAGATGTCTCCACATTGTGTAGGAGGCACGTCGTTGGGTCTAATCCTATGTCAATTTCAGTTATTTCTTTAATCAATTTGACTGTTATCTTCCAAACAGTCTGGATTTTCGGACATTCCCACCATATGTGAAACACCGTGCCCATCTCTCCACATCCTCTCCAGCACTTATTTGAGTTTTCCCCATTCATCTTGTGCTCTACACTCGGTGTAATGTGCCATCGTGTCACACACTTATAATTAACCTCAACCTCTCTCATACTAACATTATCATGTATCAATCTAAACATCTTTCTCTGTCTATCTTCATCAAACCCAACTCCCATATCTCTTTCCCATTTTGTGATAAAAGTTAACTTTGTGTTTGTGTCTAATTCTGTGAGTATTTTATACACTTTTGAAATACCGTGCTTCCCATCTCTTCGTTTCTCTAACAGCCTTTCAAACATATTCCACTCCTGTTTTATTCTCAGGGGTTTCGGTAGATTTCCAATAAAACATTTCAATTGATAATATTTCCACTCATCTATTCTAATAAAAATATCTCCCTTCTTCTCTATTAAGTCTTTAAGTGATCTCAATTCCCCCTCCACCGGAACATCTCTCAGTTGGGTATCCTCCTTTCTAAACCATCTCCCTGATATCTTATTCTTTCCCGGGGGAAAGTAATCAGTATTTGTGAGAGGCATTAATATAGAATTAAATTCCCATTTCATGTTTTTGTGTAAGTTGTCCCATACCCTAAGAACATTTAAAGTTAGATACTTGTGCTTTCTTTGATTCCCCTGAACTGTGGTGGAACCCATATCATCTGGTTCAATCTAATGCCACTAAGATCATTTTCAATTGTTACCCAACTTTTCCCCTTATGGTTAAATGTCCAGTCATATATTCTTGCTAAAACCACTGCTTTATAGTATCTCTTGACATCTGGTAGACCCAATCCCCCTTTCTCTTTAGTCCTACTCAATGTTTCATATGCTATTCTGGGTTTTTTATTCTTCCATATGTATCTTGTTAACATTTTTTTTCATTATCTTAAAGAAGGCTTCTGGAATTTTAATTGGTACCATTTGAAATCTATACAGTATTTTAGGCATAATTACCATTTTGACTAGGTTTATACGTCCTATCCAGGATGGATTTCCTCCTTCTAGTCTTTTTAAATCTTCCCTGATCTCGTTTATCAAAGAGATATAGTTTAATCTATACAAATGCTTAGATGAGGCAGTGAGTTTTATTCCTAGGTATTTTATCTCTTTTTCTCTCCATATAAAAGGGAATTCTTTTTGTAGTTTTTCTTTTTCATTCTTTGATATATTAATATTCAGATCTCTGTTTTCGTTGGATTAATTTTTAAATTTGATAGTTTACCGTACTCCTTCAGAATCTTCATTATATTTGGGAGTGTTATTCGGGGATTCCCCACATAGAGCAATAAGTCGTCTGCAAAGGCCGCTACTCTATGTTCTATGGATTCTATCTGAATTCCCTTTACCGATCCACTATTTCTTATTATTGACAACAAAGGTTCGAGTGACAATACATATAGCAGGGGGGACAGTGGGCAGCCTTGTCTTGTACCATTAGACATTCCTATGGGTTCTGATCTCTCCCCATTTACCGTGATGATTGCAGTAGGCTCCCTATATAATTTACTTATCCACTCTCGCATTCTATCACCTATCCCCAGCACTTTTAAGTTGTCCATCATAAAGCCCCAGTCCACTCTATCAAATGCCTTCTCTGCATCAATTGACAAGAGCGCCACCGGGGCTTTCCCTTTTCTACTTTTCTGAGTAAGCATCAAGGTTCTCAAGCCGTTATCTCTGCCTTCTCTCTCCCCGGTACAAAGCCCACCTGGTCTCCATGGATCCATTCAGGCATCAGATCCCTCAACCTGTTTGCTAACACCTTTGCATACAGTTTAGTATCAGTGTTCAATAATGAGATAGGTCTATAACTGGAGCACTGAGATGGATCTTTTCCCTCCTTGTGAATAAGTATACATGGGCCTGTAGGGATTCTCTCCTCACTTCCATCCCACCTCCCAGAGCATTCATATATTTCTCCAGCTTGGGTAACAGTACTTCACTAAATTTCTTATAGTACTTAACTGTATAGCCATCCGGACCTGTGCTTCCCCCCCCCCCCCCCCCTGTGCTTTTTAATGCTTTTTTTAATTTCTTCCTGGGAAATTTCTGCATCTAGGGAGTTCAACTGTGCTTCACTTAGTTTTGGTAATCCCGCATTTTTTAAGTATGTCATCTTTTTTTTATTAATTCCCTCTTGAGCTTCTTTTAGAGGGCCTTGGGGACTAATATTATATAACTTTTTATAATACTCCGTAAATACTTTAATAATCTCTTTGTTTGAGTGGACCAACTCCCCCTTTGAACTTTTTATCTTTTCTATATAGTTCCTATTTTTCTTTTTATTCAAAGCTCTCATTAGATATCTTCCTGGTCTGTCTCCCCATCTATATCTCTCATTCAAAACCCTGTTGTATACTCTTCTCTTCTCCTCATCCATCAACCTCTCTAGCTCATCTTTTTTATCCAATAACTTCTGTCTCGTATCTTTTGTTATTTTCTTCTTATGTATCTGCTCCAAGTCCAATATTTCTTTTAATAGCCCACTGACCCTCTCTCTTCTTTCCTTTTTCTTCCTTGCTCCTGCCGCAATCAAGATACCTCTTATGAATACCTTATGGCTTTCCCAGACTGTAGCTATCGATACTTCCTCTGTTTCGTTCTCCTTAAAGTATACCTTGATCTCTTTCTCGATTTTCTGAACTACATCCTCATCCAGAAGAAGAACCTCATTTAACCTCCACCCTAATCCTCCAGACCCCCTTCTTCCCCATCCCATTTTCATTACGACCGGAGCATGATCCGAGAGCGTCCTTGTCTCTATATCAATTTTAACCAGATGATCTATAAGTTGATGGTCTATTAAGATGTAGTCTAATCTCGAGTATATCTCGTGTGCATTAGAGAAGAAGGTATAGTAGTCTCTGTCTTTCATATGCGTTATTCTCCAGGTATCCACTAGTTGATATTCATGCATCACTTTCTTCAAAGCTCTCAGAGACCTACTCCCCTCTCTCTGCACAGAAGAGGTATTATCCCTTTGTGGGTCCATACAGAAATTTAGGTCTCCAGCTACTATCAAACGCCCTTTTTTAAATTCCATTAATTTTTTCAACAGACCCTTCATATACATCTCCGGATTTTTATTAGGGCAGTATATATTGGCTAAAGTACACTCTATCCCCTGAAGTCTACCTTTTAAGAATAAAAACCTCCCCTCCGGGTCGGTTCTTCTATCCTCCAGCTCAAATCTCATATTCTTTGCCAAACCTATTGCAACCCCTTTTGCTCTTTTAATTGGAGAATCTGCATAATACCATATTGGATAGTGTTTGGATTTCAATTTCACGTTTGCTTCTATCTCAAAGTGCGTCTCCTGTAAAAATACCACTGACGTCGCCCTATGATGTAACTCATTAAACAACCTAAATCTCTTCCCTGGACAACTCAGCCCATTCACATTATAGGTTATAAAACTGTATTTCTTCCATCATTCCCAATTAACTCCATTTCTCTTCCAAATTGTCTCTTCCTCTTTATCCCTACTGTCCTGCAGAGTATTAACCCGATATCTCCTCTCCTCCCTCCCTCCCACCCCCAACTCCCGTCCCACCCAACTCCCATCCCCTCCCAGCCCCCCCCCCCATGCCCCCCCCCCCCACCCCCCCCCCCCTAATTAGGCCTTCAAGCTGCCTATCAATCATTTGTGGTAATAAACCCACCTTTGATTTTTATATACCTGGGGATTGAACTCCTCCCATGTACGGCTCACCCCCCCCTCCAACCACCACGGTTTCCCACCCTTGCTTTGTTTCTTTATCCTTAGCGGTACGATTTAAAGAGAAAGTTAGGGAAGAGAAAAAAAAAAAAACCACACCACCCCAACTAACTCCTCGCTACCCCTCCCCTACCTACTTCCTGCCATGCTTCTTTTCCCCAATACCGATTTCTATCTCTGTTTCCCACCCAC